ATGTTTCTCCGTCATTGTGCTTGACTTGTATGCTTGTTTGGCTCATACTAGTATAATATTAATCTGAGCTGGACCATTGAGCGTTTCTACACTCACTGATAAATTATTGCTTACCGGGAACAGGAGACTTCCTTTACATGGGCCAGAATCGATCCAAAGATAGCGTGTAAGGTAGTAGCAACGAATATAGCTACTGTTTCACATTTGAAATGATACGAGTTTCCTTTCAAGGCGTGTAGCCTTGCATTTTCTAGCCACTTTGCCTTCCTAGAACTAGTTGCGATGTGAAAAATTGCTTCAAAACAACTTGTAGAGCTTGAACTCTGCTGCTACATAGTGCAGCTTCGAAACAAAAGTTATTATAACTTCCTAGAATAAGTACTCTCAATTATGCTTTCCGTTAATTATTTACTAGTTCGTTATTTACTCGAGGACAGTAGGCAATCTTGCCGTGAGGGCGGAGTCACTGACGTCACTCTGCACTCCTCTTTGTGGGCTCCTTCCTCCGCTATATTTAGTAGACAAAGCACCGTTGGCAAGTCCGCAATCGTCGTAGGACCTACATTGGAACCTTTGGCGTGTCCACTGTCTTTAACCGCTTGAACAGAAAGATCTTACAGTAGTTATTTGCAGCAATCTTTCGTTCTCGCTTATCTTTTAATCTACTTTCCTACTTCTCACACGACCCCATTTGGGATTGCTCGGCCTGCATGGGCGATAATCCCGGTCAAACAAGCTTTGTTTGAGAAGCTTTCAGGCTCTAAATTTGATTCGGACTTGCGTTTGCCTCATTTCTGGAGAAACCGAACTCTGTGCACGTCATTGGCTGGGTACTGATGAGCTCGGGCCTGGGAGTTTTTGAACATAGTCAGCTAAATACTGAACCGTCGTCATCCTTCCGGTCAGCCGACAGCTTTCCCAAGAAAGCCACCAAATGCCGGCCACTGCTCTTTTCCTTTAACGTTTCCCTCATCATTTTGGTTCAGTTGAACTACTACGCTGTTTCTTATGGGAAGGAAATTCCGCGGTGACGCCAATTCTGCTGCATCATTTACGTGCGTCTAACAATGGGCTTGCAGTTTTCTTTCGAAATCATGGACTCTTGGGATTCAATGACGTCACCGCTTACCTGAAGTATTTTTATATTTCATCTTCATTTGATCCACCATGGCTTCTAAATTGTAAAAGGTCGTCTGCTGATGTCTTATTCATGTATATTCTGCACCACTGGAGGATTTGCAGGTCCCAGCGTGCGTTTTTCTATGAAGGTCTCACAGAATCTTTTCTAGAATATTCGAAAGTATCATATTTTGCCCAAGTTGAAGGAAAATGAGAGAGAATTGCGGCAAGGGGGGAGGGGAGTGGGGCGCTAGGAGAACTACTGCAGAATACATTGGAGTAGTGGTCTAGGCGTGTGCGTGGCCTCAAGAGAACTACTGAAGGTGGAATAAATGTTGACGCCTATTGAGATCAACTAGAGAGCATCGACAGGAATGTCTTCAATTAGAAATATCAGGAAAATGTGGGCTTGTAAAGCGAGAAGTTCCGAGGACGGTGAGTGAGAAAAGGCCATTAAAAACAGTAAAAGCGTAGGGGAGAGCTTCACATCATTGTATCCCACAAGGTTGCTCCAGGCTTAAAGGCAAAGTTCGGGCTCAGACCCACCTAATGAGCCCTTAAAGTGGCTAGAAGCGCATGGGACGCAACTGCAGGCGACTCGCCAAAATTCCCGCATCGAAATGCGTCACTAAGGCGCTAGGGGCCAAGGACTTTGACACGCTCCACCTGTTGCGACACGCTCCGCCCACCGCTCGATATTTTGTCTGCGTCGCAATGCTGATCTGCTATGCTCTCTCTTCTCGGATTTCTCTACCGCTCTCCGCGCTCACATTATCTCTCATCTCCCTGCCGGCCTTTTGAACTTCTCCGCAACGTAGAGCAAAAGGCTCGTATTTCCTGTGTATTTCACGATTTTTTTCCTTTTTTCTCCACTGGCGGTCCACCTCCCACCCCTACATCACATTTGAGTAGAATTACCTCATCAGTTTAAGCTTGAATCTTGCCTTTTCAACAATTACTGTGGGCCTGATAACAATTGCGACCGCGAAGATGAGGCATTTTCTGTAGTAGCTTAAAAACTTCTGAATAACCAAGTATATCTAAAATATGGCTGAGCAGTTGATTAAGTAGTAGCGAGAAAGTGATGTTTGGATCCGATCCAGAAGAATGGTCTCTTGGGAAGCAGGAAGTGGGCGGGATCCAATGTCATGGAATGTATTGGATGTACATAGGCGTCCTCCACCATTGAGCCACTTCTTCAGCGATTTAATCTGCTTCCTTGCGCCACTTTTTGTCTATAGGTTGTTCAGAAATACTTCACATGAAAGCCGTTCCGTTGACATGATGCATGATCGCAGATTGATATCCTGTGGCGCTCCAGAAGTTTTGCTCGTTATCCGTGTAAGCATATTTTCAGGTTAATGACAATGAACACACTGCAACTATCGGCCTTCGTTCTCTTGATATTAGCCATTGAAATGGATCACGCATCGGCACGATACGTCAGAACGGGATACGTCAGGTTAGAAAATGAATCTTGCCCCCGTGTCTCAGAAATCGCGCATTTCTCACTTATGTGGCCCTGATTACAAATGAGCCAGCTGAAAATCTATCGCTGCACATGTGCTAAGCACGACTGAAGTTGTTATGAACGCTCTTTTTTACTAGTATTAGGTCCCTTTCATACTTCGCGATTTCGTATGGGAGATAAGAAGAACAGGGGTAATGGAAAAAAGCTAATTGGTAAATTAGGAGATATGAGATCAGGAGATGGGTAGATCGAGAGATCAGGAGATTGAAAATTTGCGCTGGATAGAATCGATTCTTGGTTGACATTTTCGTTCATGCTTACCTGGGCTCCTACACTTCCTGCAAACACGTATGTAATGTTTCAAAGATAGTCTCCTAGGCTCATATCGCCTCTATTCACTGTCTCTCTGAATTTATACGGCTACCTGCTGAACCTTCCCAATCGCCGATTGTATAATGCGTGATAAATTCTGCAACTCCCATCCTTCTCGCCTGAACACTCACCCCAGAAATAGCAGCGCGTAAGCAAAGAGTAGTCACGGAAGAGGACAGAGGAGTGACACAAGTCCAGGGAAATTCAGCACGGTAGCTCCTCGGACTCTTCGGCGAACCTTTGCCTCGTCTATAGGATCAAGGCTGTCTGAAGTTCAGACAAAGCTTGAAACGTCGTCCGTGTATCAATGATAATAATGGATGAAGTGAGACTTATAATACCCTGCATGCTCTAATGCTCCCATGGAGCTCTTGTCTGTGCGACTTTCCGACAGCTGCACGGTGCAGAGCTTTTGGAGAACATTAGGGCGTGAAAGTGCACTGCCGCACACTGCCTTGTCGCCCTCTTGCAGCCCCGTCCCTCTGTATGCGACCCCCCCCCGTTTCGTTCGGCAAAATGCGACCCCCTCGTTGTTCTTTGCGCAACGTAGGGTTGACCCTGTCTGAACTGCTGAGGTGGTTGTTGTGTGCAAACTTTTATTGGCTGACTTTCGACGTAATCGCCCATCTCCGCAGCCAAGAGAGGGAATCAATGTACAAGTATACGATCAAAATCTCGTCTACTCATCAAACGTTCTCCAGGCCTACTAATCCATCACCCAAACCCCAGAAATAGTTCTAGTATTCCTTATAATCAGAACCCCATAGCCAACGGCAATACAATATCAAAAAGCGCTCGAAAAAATCTCATTCAGAGCATCGGTTGGTCTGAGGCCTTTCCTGTGTTAGGCCCCGGCCATATCACCGAAAAGTCAGCAATCAAAAGTTATAAATAACGATCTCTTGTGCAGTTCGAACAAGAACTATGAATGAATCGTAGTGTGCCGAGGTTAACAAAGAACTGAACACAATAATTTTAGTGATCCAGTCGAGCTACTACTTCAAGATGCCTATTCGTCATTGCGGAATCAAGAATACATGCCAATCAAAAGGCCCTATAGACAGGTTAGGCTTTATTTATGTATACCTTAGAGTTTTTGCAAGTACATATATGCTCCGTTTTTGAATAACAGATGTATGAGATATAAGTGAAGTAATTATATTCTGCAATGCTATGTAAGGTTTTGAAGGCTTGTCGTTCACTAGGCTACAAAAAAGAAGTGTAGTGGTAAGAGGGCGAAGATCAAAGCACTAGATGTTGATCAGTTCCATTCCGAGATGTTCGACTTGGGTGATTCGATGGTGGCTTTGACACCCATACTGTGCAGGTCGGCGCTTGCCATTGGCGCTTGTCCTACAAGGGAGGTCTTTCAGGGCAAGGTGCGCTTTTTCAAAACGGTTTTGTGCATATTGTAGGGACGCATGTAGGGAACGCAAAACCATGTTTCATTTTCGCTGAACGGTTATAGCAGTACCAAAAAAGAAGCATAAGGTACTGTTAAGGGTTCGATCCCCCGTGGCGACTAAATTTTGCATTTGGGTTGGCGCCTACGGTTTGGTGCCAAATCGCGCTAAATATCAAAATCAGATGTCAAATTCATCGTCAGGACCATTTTGAAGCCAACAAGTGGCCGCCAACCTTGATTGCAAAATTTAGTCGCCGCGGGGGATTGAACCATCAAGAGTATTATTCACCACTTTTTTGGTACTACTAAAACCGTTCAGCGAAAACGAAACATGGTTTTGTGGTCCATACATGCGTCCCTACAACATGCACTAAACCGTTTCCAAAAAGCGCACCTTGCCCTGAAAGACCTCCCTTGTAAGAATCGTTGCAGTATGTCGTGCAGCGGTGGTGGTCTCTAACCTACTCATCTGAACTCCTGCAAGTATTAATTATAGTCACTAATCGTCCCTTTCGTATGGTAGTAGTACATGTTTTGAATAGAGTCATCCTGAAGTTTAAGGGAGATTCTGAAAAGTAAATCTGGTAGAGCTGAAGGAAAAATTTCCAAGGGGATGACGAATTGACTATTCTGCCTTCAGTATTGTGGAGCAAGGCAGAGCGAGGCACATGTGTACACTTAGATTATGAAGTGCTTATATAGTGCTCACCAGCTCTGTGATTTCGTCCACTTCATCCCTATTGAATTCAGTCCAGTGCAATCAGCAGCCCGAAAGGAGACTTAGGGCGAATTGCTGCAGAAAGTAAATAATTGTCAGGAGATACAATAAAACATTTGCATAAGAAAGAGAATGTGGAAAATGTATCGTGTTGCAAGTCTCATATGACAGACCTGATGATATTTCCTGTTAACAATGGGTTATTTCGAGGGAGACCCACCCACGCTTCCCTACACCCTCATTAAACCATTGGCCTAACAGCGCTGAACCCCTTAACCTGGTCAAAATATTTGACTCCGGAAAGGTTTGAATATACGCCTTGAACTGTTCTTCGGGAATAGACTGACATAAGCATAAACAGGTCACCGTGTGACCCGCGGCGGGTTCTCTCCATACGCTCCTTCTCATCGCTTTGTGCAGCGAGGAGTCTACCGATCCCCTACACTGAAATCATATAGGAGCACCTTGAGCGATGTGCTGCTAGAGAATGATGAATGCTCCCAGAAGGAGAATATCCGAAGAAAAACGTGGAAACTTAGAAAACATTTTTCACCGAAAAGCTCGCGTGTTTGTCGGTCCGTTTTGTGGGAACTAAACAACATCTATCTACAAGACTTTAGGAGTGATTCTTTTTCTTGACCTCCTTAGTTTCATTTCTTCCGGTTACTGCAGTCGAATTTCACTATTTGATTTTATTCATCTTGCTAATAATGATACAGGGTGGTCCAAAATTATGAGGACCGCGTGCGCGCGCAGTCATATCCACTTTTTTCCGTATCGCTCCATTTTCATCTCGTTTTCTGTGCACTATGTGAAAGGGTACAATGTCTTCTTCCTAATGAAACCAAATTTCATGAAGTTCTCAAAACTAGTGAAATAACTACTTCACTTTGAGTCAGTCCTCAAATTGAACTCACTAGGGGCTCTGGCACGTTACATCTAGCAGCAGTCTAACCTATCAGAGAAGCCCTTATGAGCAACAGTTCAACTCTTCAATAAGTTTGGAATCACCACAGATGGAAAATTCGGGGACTCGAAAGTTACAGTTACCACCAGGATAATTATCAGATGCAGAAACTAGGTCTCCCCTTGTCGACTTTCGTACACCCAAAATGAAAAAATTGATGTGAAAACCCAGCCAGACACTCTAAAGACTCCACATCTGTAGTGGATAGAAAGCCACACGAGTAGTCTACTTAGAACTTCTTACAGGACCGAGCCCAAGAATAAAGCAAAAATCCTCCAAAAAGCGATTTTTCGAGTTCGTTGCTTTCGAAGAATTGTTACAATGGAACCATCCACCTAATAGCTCTAGATTTCTGTATTTCACACCCTGGATGCAAGCGCAAATAAATGCAACACAAAAGTTTGATTCCCTGAAGAAGGCAGAGCAGAAGGCCTGGAAACATTTGGACACGCCTTAGTTGCGTGCCACCGCACGCGCCATCCCCCTCATCCGAAGGCTCGTGTTAACGGGGGAAGTGGCAGATCTCAATTCTATCTGGAATTACTTTGAGGTAAGAGTTACAAATACTTCCCAGAAGTTGGTTTGTTCCATCAAGCTACTATGCGTTTTAAAACACAATGTCTTGGTCCTCATAATTTTGGACCACCCTGTACGTGCATATATACATATATTTTTGCGGGGTGTCATAGTGCGTCCGTAGCAGTCCGATTACAGGTCGATTTTTTATAGGGAGTTATTAAGCAAAACAACATTCTTTTTATGACTTATTGCTCTATTGCTTAAACAAATCCGAATACCGCAGAGACATTTCGCATAAACCATGCTCCGGCGACGGCAAGGACCTCGAGGGATTACCACAACATTTGATATTGGTCTTAACTCGAAAAGCACGACCTTTTTGGACACATTCTTAATTAAAGTTACTTCTCTCAAATCTTTTTACTTTGCCTTCAGATTTTACAAAAATTACTTCTAAAGAATATGCTTTTTGAGCCAAATTTCATTTTTTCATTCCAGATCCAGAAACGCCGTTACTCGTCATTCCCTCCGTCCTTCTACAGCACATTCGGCTTCGGAGATATGCCGATGAGTCAACGACATGTCATGCTACCGTACACCGATCTTCTATTCAGCGGGCGGTGAAATTAGACGAAAATGTTCCTTCTCTTCCGATTCCTACATCAGTTTGTATTTTATTAGCACATTGGTTATTTAAAACAGTATATCAACCACGGACGTAGACGCGTTTAATAAGTGAGGATACGCATATAGGACCGTAGTGAAGTCACGAACGACAAAACTTATCAGTATTATTTATAGTGCAGTATCATTGTCCAGTTGTTTTTTGCTTTATTTGTGCGACAATTTCACGGACGACAATAAAGCAAATGTTGTTCATTGAGACTAGTGTTGTTGTACTTTGATATCATTTCTGGTGATCATGGTAATGTTCACAAGTTTCGATGATGCCGCATAGCGTGGTGGTGCTTAGCAGGTGTCAGATTTTGCTACCAAACGCTGGCCAATAGCGCAATTCAAGGGGTGCGAGCAGCTTAAAGGCAAACCCCGGGATTAGCCCGACTAGTAGGAAGGATACCGCGAGGGAAATTGTAAGGTCCGTACCTACCTAGATCACTCCAGCTTCGTCGCAAAAATTGCGCGGTTAGGGCGCTAATCCTTACGGGCCTGCAACCATCGAACGCTTCCCACCCACCGCGAGAGGTGGTGAGATCAGCGTGCATTGATGTAGAGATCAGCGTGCTCTCTCAAACGACGTGCTCTCTCGCGTATTTTGACCGCCCTTTCTCGCCATCGTACCACATCCGACCCTGTTGAAGGTTAAGGCCTTAATTTCAGCGTTCCCAAAGATTTCTCTTGCTTTCCTTCCCACTTTCAGGTCGTTCCGCAGCTAAGGTATCACTACAGAGCGCTGATAGCACTAGTTCAATCCCGGAGTTTGCCTTTAAAGGAGGATTGCACGGAAAGAACGAAGGTCGAAGAAGGGAGAAATCGCCTAGTGGGGAGAGCGGTGAATCTCTTGAGGGTGCGGACAGACACGCAATCGGCATCGAAAGATTTGACCTCT